TTCAATGAAAAAATTTGTTTGTGTACATATTTCAACACTCTGAATATGATTGTATTTAGCTATAATTATTACAATTATTTAAATAACTTTTGTTTAAACAAATTAAAAAAAATTATTTGGAAATTAATTTTTTGTTAAATACAGATAAAATTAAGGAAAAATAGTACCTACTTTAAAATTATAATTTTTGAAAAAGCTAAATGCAAATTGATAAACGTAATCTAATTGTTTAAAAATAAAAAAAAAGAGTGTTAACTTTAAAAATTTACTGTGGCCGTCCTAATCAACCGATTTCAATTTTTCAAAAACCATTTGAAATGTTGAGCGGTCTTTTCTATGTGAAACAATTTTCAAGTATCTAGATGCTTTATTTGAGGCTGTGCAACATTTGAAAAATTCGAAAAAATTTTTCAAAATTTTTTTAAAAGAATTATTTTGCGAAAACTGTAGAACCGATTTTAATGAAATTTGGTGTTGTTTTATTATGATCTAATGTTTTTTTTTACCAAAATTAGAAAGCCCTCGGAGCAATTAATATATTTTTTAAAAATTATCCTTTTTTTCATTAATTATTGCTATTTTGCAACATCGGTAATAAATTTAAACATTTTTAACTTTCAGTATATTGTGCAAAATTCAATTCTAAAACTTTTCTCCTCTTCGATATTCTTCAAAAATGCATAGGTTCTAAGATATAAGTAAAAAACTCAGATAAAATAGGTATTTTTTAAATTTTTTACACATTTGCAAATTTGAAAATGTTCCGGACGTCGCGCGTCGTCCAGGTCTAGGGATCTACACTTTTATTATGCGAGTTGTACTGAACGTAATCCAGAAAAAAATTGCTTGCCCCCTCTCACACCCAGCTCAAAACGATTCGCCCTGGTCTATTAGTTCATATTGCATTTATCAGAATTTCTAGTATTTTACGGGGAATTAAAATGAAGAAAGTAACCTTGCATCGCACTATTATCAGAATGTCACAATTCTGGACTTGGTCACTTAATTTGTCCCATATTTTAACGACTAACATTGTGTCTAGATCTTTAAGGTCATTTGGTCGTTGGTCACACGATTTGCAGCTACTTGTCCTCTTATTATAAATAACGTTTTATGTTAATATGGAGTAACTATGGGATGAACTTAACCTAGTTACAAAAAGAATCGATATAAATAATGAAGTTCGTGGTTATCGTGTATATAATTATAACAAGCAAAAAAAAGAAAGGTGGTTTCGATCTATTTCGTGCATTTTTACAGAGTCCATTTGCGGTAGGAAGTTAATTATAGACAGCTGATAACTTGGTTCGATATTTTACGCTTATTGTTTGGCAGTATCTTAGGATAATACGTAACAAATGTAAATTTCTTCGGGAATAAACAGAATAATTCAAGTTCAATGTAATATTCGTAAGTGACAAAATGACATGAGCTAATAATAATACGCCATTGCTTCTTCCGCACCACTAGGGTTGTAGTTAAACTGTAAGCTGCAGCTATTAGATATTATTTTTCTAGAAGTTTATTAATTAATATTTCTTTTATGTATATATTTGCAAAATAAGAAAAAAGAACATTTGAATATGTATTTTTTTTAACGAATGAAGTTTCGTTATTCATTTAATTCTTGGAAGTTAAGTTCTACCGTCGTCAATTCCCAGCCTTCTCTACTTTCTTTCCTTTACCTTCTTTTTGCTTGTCGCCTTTAATTGATTTTTCAATTAGACAAGTTGTCACTTGATAGCAACCAATTCAACCGTTTAAAGAAATTGCCTGACCGTGTAGATATAGACGTCTGGACTAGTACTTTTATAATGTAATTATTTTATAACTAAATTTCACGATTAATTGTATCAACTACTTTATTTTTATCGATTGCGTTATGTTTAACACAGGAGTTTTAATATAGTTTTATATAGTCATTATTATATTTCGTACGGTTTTGCCAAGTATTCTAAATAGTAGACTTAAATTAAAGAATCATATTGTTGGCAGATGAAAAATCAGATGTTACTCACTGAAATCTCTCTGGGAGACGTTGCAATCATTTTGACGGTACTGTGAACCATTTCATTTTTTGGTCAAGATCAACTGCTCTAACAATTACCTAACTAGAAGACATTTATTCCCACGCAGCTTGTTACTGAATAAAAGGATGATCAAAGGCGAGATTTTAATCTTGCAATACAATTATAAATGAAACGCAGTCGTGCTGCGTAACACCCTTTTTTATTCTGTTCGCATCTGTTAGAAAATAAATACCTAAGAGATAAAAAAAGTGAAATAATACCAGTGTAATTACAAACATCCTGTATTTCGCTGTTATTTGCATTACCCACATGATAAATTACACATATATTATCCTAATTATGCAATGAAGGTTTATTTATAGACATTTTTTTAACCAGGGAAGGTTAGCATAGCTACGACATGAAACATAGAAACTCGGAGAGTAATAATTATGTAAATTTGTAAAAAAATAATATTGACGTGTGCGAAACTGGTGATTAACAAGATTAGATTGTAATTTGTATTAATTATTTGTAAATAAGAGTATTTATCAGCACTTTTTAATACAAAAATGAACTTATGATTATTTTATCAAACGAGGCACGTATGGTTAAAAATTGCTCACTTGCTCAAAGTATGTGCTAGATAGTAAAAGATTCTATTTCGGAGCGTATTCTTATCTTCCGGAAGGCAAATGCTCTAATTCTCAAACATCAATCAGCTAATTATCCACACGAATTCGTCTTGCTATTGGCCAGAAGGTAATAAAACTCTACCATTTGGATAAATTTGTATGAGCAATTTCCACTGATCCGTGGCTTTCTGATGCACGATTTGAAGTCATTAGTTTGACTTTCCGGTTTTTGATTGCTACAGACGAGTCTTTTCCAAATTTCTTTCTCACCAGAATTATAGTATGCTAGGGTCTTAGGCCTTGTATCTGCCATCATATCTACAACAGCTAATTTATCTACGTTGTCGCTTAAACTTAGATAAATCAATGATTGTCGAGGCACAGGGTAAGACACAGGGAAGTTAAAGGATATAAGTCATACCAGAATTATAGTGAGAGAAAGATCTTCGTCAAGGATCTTCAAATAAATAAAAAAAAACATAATATCAGTCAAGGTGAACTCATAGAATCTATTTGGAGCTTGGAAACAATTCTGTCGTAACAAGGACAGGAATGTTAGCGGTCAGTTACTACTTCAAACCATAAACCTCGACGCCATAGACCAATAAAGCACACGGCAGATATCAATTCTCCTGAAGAAAAGAGCGATATGTTTGTGGAAAAGTCAAATATCGATAATGTGACGACCAGTACTGAGCACAGACTCCTATATGGGAACCATGGGCTCCTTGCTACAGAAATATACAAATTTAGTTTAATATAAATCCTAAGAATACAAAACAGCAAAATGTATATTTTTTATTTTAATTTTTTTGCATATGCAGTCACAATTAGCGAGGAAATATTCTCAAAAAAGGACTAACTCCTTTTTTATTTATACTACTTCATGTCTTAGTAAATAATTTTTCAGCTATGTTGATACCTCTGACGCACTTCCTATCGATCCAGCAGATGAAATGTCTTTGAAAAGAACACGCGAATGGCATTAAATTCAGAGCAAATCAGTGAAGAGTGACGCAAATAATAAATCGTCGACATTCACTTGTATTCTCCTTAAACGCAAAGTTTGTTGAGGCGTTCCATAAAAGTTATGATTGATGTGGACAAGGAAAATGGTCTTATTTATATCTTAATGGTAACATCTACATCTGCACGACTTCTGCTGGTACCCATTTGTAACCGTTTAAAACTTAAATGTGTTTTTTTTTTGTTTTCACTGAAGGAAAACCACATTAATTTTTTATGTAATGGACGAAAAATAAATTCAATTTTCCTTTTTTTATGGATTCCTGTCGCTTTGTGTCGAAAAAAAAAAATTTGTAAAATGAACCAGTTAAATATAGATTGGCATTTCTTATTTTGGATTTATTGCTAATCCTTTAGAAATTCGTGTGGCGAAATATCCAACATTCCTCTGTGATTAAAACATGTTTCCTTCTGTTTAACGCCAGATAAGGCATGATTAAAAAGAAAGTGGTGCTATCTTCGAGGCAGATACAGATGTTTTGTTTAATTTTAGTATCCACCTAACACATGTTGTAACACATATCATAATACTGGTATATTATTATTCTGGCGGTAAACGCGTTGAAGAATATAATAAAATAATGCAACGGTTTCGTCAGTGAACGTAAATTTTATTTTTAGTTCACAATTTCCTTTTCTATAAAACTGAAAACTTACGTCGCTGAACTGATTCATAGTCAGAAATCACTGAATTAGAAATAGTTTTACATTACCTTTAATGTAGAAATAGATTGGCAGTTCACTTTGAAGAACAGAATGCAGAATGTGTAGCAATAAAATATAATGCACATTGCACAGGGTTGTGTAAAACTTGAGAAAATCCTCAATCTTGAAACGTTATAGCACATTCATTATTCAAAGGGTACATTTAGCATTTACCTAAGCTTCCATGGGTTCCAACTAAATTTTAATCAGTAGTAGAGATTGATTTTTTTTTTTTAGAATAAAGAGTAAATGGAATTAAATATTTCTATGATTTTTTGGATGTACCAACTTGGAATGTAACAACTTAGAATTACAAAAAACATGTAACTCCTTGCTCTCTTGGATATGAATTTAGGAAGGTTGAATTAATCTAAGAAATTGTGTTCTGCAGAGAGTTTTGGCAGGACGTAGGACATTTGATACATTTTTTCTTTAACTTCACAAAGTTAAAAAACTTCATGTCACCCTGTACAGTTTAAAATAAAATATAATAAAGTTCTACGTCTTTACTATTTGACAAGCAAACGCATTAGTTGGAAAATACTAGAGACACAGCTAGCTATAAGTGTCTGCGAAACTTTTCAATGATTAACCCAGTATTTATATCCAATTGCTCCTATTTCAGAATGACTAACTGACGCCGTCGTCGTCGACATGGAGGCCGATTCACCACCGGTGCCGCCGATCGTCGCCAGTGACACGGAAATCGTCATTTCCGACGAGGCGGATCTCCCGGCCGCTCTGAACGACACCACCGAGGAGGCTGAGGCGGACAGCACCATCCACGGCTTTAACGTCAACTCCAACGTGACTGTTATCGAGAGGGAGCTGGACAGCTTGGTGATCGACTCCACCACGGACGTGAAAAAAGTGCAGTGCGAGGGTAGTGACAGTGGCGTGGAGGTGGTGGAGAACCTCGACCTCTGCGTGTACCAGCGTGCTCTCAGTGCCAACAGCGGGAACTCCCAGGACTTTGACAACTTCAACGGGGCTAGATCGTGTGACTCCTCCATCATAAGTTGTTGCTCCAACTACGAGGAGGCTTACAACTTGCTAGTGAGGAAGAACTCCACGTTGTTGGAAGATTACAATAGAAATGGGGACGTCACCAGCGAGAATGGGAGCGAGAGTTCCTCCATCAGCGGGTCACAGCCTAGGAGTAATCGACGCAGCAGTGTAAACGGTATTATACAGGGTGATTTATTGCTTTTGTCATATTTGTTTGACACAATAAGAAAAGAAATTTCTTAAGAGCAGCAGAAACTATTCTTTAATAGGAATAATTGGGAAAAAATTATAGTCCTTTTAATTTAGTATAAATTTTTAACATTCTTTCCAACTAATTTTTGCTATAGGAAATATATAGTTGGACGCGACTTTTTGTTTCGGCAAGCTGAATTTATCACTATAGATGCTAAATATTATGTACAATAACATATTAGTTTCCAGTCATAAAAATGGGGGGAAGATTGTTTACAGGGTGGTTAATTGTATAATTTTTACGTAAATTCACGTTTTTCGCTTGTAACTTTTTTCCGAAATGGTCTTTCCAGCTTATTTTTCTGGCATATATTATGCTGTCTCCAGGGAAACCGAAATAATTTATTGTTATAGCTGGAATAAATAAAAATATATCATAAAGACTTTGAATGATTGTGTTGTTATTTTCAGATTATCTTCTAACAAACAGCTTTTTCTTAAAGAAATTACAGTTTCTGATTTGAGAATTATTATTTCTAACTTCATTAGCAATTTCTTTAAACCTAACCATCAAAGTTTTCTGTTATTTTTTTATTTATTCATTGATGCTACAAGAATATTAAACTGTGTTTATATATTTTTGTTTTTAATTTATTTATTTGTTATTATGTATTTATGTATATCAATTTTGTTTAAATTTAGTTGATCTTTTGTTAATTTTTAATTGAAAATCAAAAAAGTTACAACACAAAGCAATTTACTCCAAAATCTTAAATATATAAAAATTTAAAGAAAGCAATTTTATGAAGCTGTGTTCTTGAAATAATTTAAAACCTTTTTTTTTTTCAAAAATTTTAAATCTGTATTTTCAAAATGGTATTATTATTGAACTTGAATTTCTTTTTTACTGTTCTCTTAAATTGTATGCTTCTTGGGGGCATATTGCATATTAGAATGAATAAAATGTTTGAATGTACCATTAAATTGTATATAATTAATATAAACCATAGGTACGAAAAAGAAAGTTTCCGTGACTGACGCCAAAACCAAGACTTCATCAGCGAAAGATAGATCGAAGGCGAAGCCTCCAACCAACCCCAGAGCCACAGCAGGCCCCGCCAGACTAAAATCCATCGACAGACTTCAGGGAAAAGCACCTCCAAGTCCAAAACTTAGCGGTTTGCGTACAAAAACCGCGCCTAGCAACCTAGATCTAACCTTAGCGAAAAAGGAAACGAAAAAATCTACTTCGACTCGTAACGGGTCCGGCACCCGTACCCCTTCGTCAACCCCTACTGATGACGGAAGATGGCCGTCAATCAATAGCAAACCAGCACCGCTCATGTCTAGGTCTTTAAAAGCGCAGATTGACTTAAAGTCCAGAATATCCCCAATGGACACCAAAACTATAGAGAAATATGCCACACTGCCTCGTAGAAGGAAAGAAAAGTCCGCAGACAGCATAAAGGACCAAAGGAAAGCCACTAGTAGAGAGAACAGCATGCACCGCATCGCCTTAAGGAAAAGCTCAAGAGAAACGACTCCTTCCAAAATGACTAGCTCTTTATACTTACCCAAAAGTAAGCAAAAGACGAAGATTTACCACGAAATCTGTGTTCAAACCGCCCTGACGTTGTCCGATATGGAGAAAGCTTTTTCGGGATTTTCGGTGCCACCGAAAAGTCCAATTGATGTTGAAAAAACTGACAAGGACGTGCAGGTAGATATGAGGGCACGTGACATTGAGAAACTCCAAGATCAGTTGAAGAAATTGAATGAGAAGTATGAAGGTTTGTGTAGCAAACACAAAGCGCAGAGTGAAAAGCTGAAGGAAACTGAGGAAAGACTGAAGGAAGAACGTTTGGAGAAGGAGGGGTTGAAGGAGGAACTGCAGAATAATTCTCAGAGGGTGCTGGCCATACTTGGGGGCGACAATAGCGTAGGTAAGTCATTTTTAGAGTTTGGGAACACTCGGCTCGTAACAGAACTGGATTTAATTTATAGGTAAATGTAAATGTGAACCTTTTTACAGAAAATATGTTGCAACACAATAACATTAATACCAAATAGCGGTACTAAATGTAAGGGCAAAAAAAGTTAAAAGTTCAGAAAAGGTTTTAATGTAGGATTACTATGACGTTACTGTTAGCAAAGAGCAGTAAAAGCTTTTGAGGCATGAACTATATGTTAATTGACATGTGTCAGTTAGAACTTTCTATATATTTTCATTATATGCAGAACACGCTTTATATTTTTTTCTGACAAATTTTTTAGGTGGTATGTGAAATTGTTCATTAAGTGAACTGAAATAAACTACACACAAAGTATAACTGTGCCACAAGTTGTATGTCCCTGAACTCTAGTCATTTTATATCCTTAAAAATCGCAGTTTTACAAAATCTTTCTAATTTTGTATTTGTTTAAAGCTGATAAGTCAGAAGACTTACAAGTGACTTTTCCAGAAGCAGACACCTCCAGCGACAGCCTCATGGTCCTGGAAACTCGTTTCCAGAACGTAGGCCAGGTGGTTATCCAACAAGAAGAGGAAATATCCAAGCTGAACATTGTATGCCGATCCCTTCAAATAGATCTCGAGAAGAGTATAGCCGCGCAAAAGTCGCTGCTGCAACAGCAGCAAGATCTTGAAGCTGAAAGTATGGAACTCCAGGAGTTCATGCAAGCAGAGAAAATGACACTTCATGAGGCCTTGAAAGAATCCGAAGCTGAATTACAGAAGCATCAGCAGGTAATAGCTCAGAAAGATAAGGAATTGGCAGAGAAACAGGAAGAGTGTAAACATTTGGTAAGTGAAACATTTTTTTAACTAGTGCTTGTTCTACAATAAAAATGTTCTAGGTAAGGTTAAGTGAACAAAGGAGACAAGAAAACCTGGCGCTACAAGCCAGGCTTGGAGTTTTAGAGTCAAAAAGCAGGGAACTCTTAGTCCACCAAGGTAGTTCTGTTTCTGGGGCTTCTGTAGCTCTCTCGGCTTTAATTGGACGGCTTGATGGTCTTGTAGAGGAACTTGTAGTTGCTTATAGTATATCAGACAAGGAACTGGAGGTAAATGTGAAAAAAAATGATTTTATTGTCACTGCTTGCTATTGAAAAAAGTTTCAAAAGAATTTTGCAAAATATGTTGGTATAAATTATGTATTTCAGAAAACACTGCATATACAAGGTTTTGTAATGCATGTTCTAGAAACCTTAGCTTAAGTCAACAGGGCCTTGTGTGAGATATTATTCCTGTCATTATATTGTGGATAGGTCATTAATTTAGTCATTTATTATTTCATAGTGGACTGTGAATAGAATCGATAACTGTAAAAAATCAATTTAGTGGAAGGTCAGCACTTACAAATAACTCACACACAAAAACTGTCTCTGTTTTCTATTTATGGTATTATTGCAATCATGGGATGCAGTAGAGGTCAGATATGTCGCCAGATTTTCTAATTGAGAGTTATTATGTAATTTGAAATCCATTTAAGCTAGATTGGCGCTTTATGGTACGGTTATTTTGCAAATTGATTTTGATTTGACCAATGAATTTATTACTCACTTAAAATTACGTTGCTTATATTTGTAAATGGAATGCTGGAGGAAAATATTTAGATTGCACTGATCGAGCTAAATTAGAATATAAACTAGTAAAGTGAAGAATTGAAGAATATTGTTAAATTTAACATTAAAAGTGAAAATTTAATCAAAATGTATTTCATTTTTTTAATGTTTCAAGTTTTTTTAATACTTTGTGTTATAAAAAACTATTTGAAAATACACCAGTCTGAAGTCAGAAATTTCTAGTTTCAGGATCTGAAAGTCGAAAATTTTTATCGATAACCAGTTTTAAGAAATTATAAGAAATCTAGCGAAAAATTTTTGCTTCCCTTTCAAAAGGTCCATGGGCTTCAATACATTTTTTTTTTGTCAATCCCACATGTCAACCCTTTTATCTTCATTTATCGTCTCTAATTTGAACTGTTCAGGAGCTTTGTATGATGATTTGTTGCTGAATCATTAATTATATATACTCTTCTTTTTAATTATCCAATACAAATATTTACTTGAAACTTTAAAGTCTTATTTTAATTTTTACTTAGTGGAATATTTATTTTGTTAAGCCTAGTATTTATAAAAATCGAAAAGTCGTAAAAGTTTGAAGACCGCTGGACTAATGATATCTTTGTTTTTTTTTAAATCAAATTATCCTAAATAAACTCTAAAGAGTTCAAACTGCTGCAATTTTTCTTTCATTGTAATCTAAATGATTGAATTTTGCATTTTTTATGTGTTTTTTTAACCTTAGTCTATTCATTATTTCTAAATTATCTCAAAAACAAATAGAGGATACTTTTAAGTTTTTAGAAACCTGCTTAAAATTTCTGTATTTTCGTTAGTTTGTTAATAATTAATTATCAAAGACAAAAAGATCGTTTTTGCTTCGAACAATGATAACTTAGTGACAAATTATCGTACAAAGCTTTTGTACAGCTTAAATTAAAGAGAATGAATTAAGCTAAAAGGGATGACAGATGGAATGGGAGAAAATAATTATTGAAGATTGTAGATCTTTTGAATAGGAAACAAAAATATTGAAATTTTTTTTTTCAATCAGGTTTCTTATAATTTCTTAAATTCGGTCAACGATAAAAATTGTTGACTTTTATATCCTGAAACTAAAAACTTCAGGCTTCAAATTGCTCTTTTTTCTATTGGTCTACGACCATTTTTCGCCAAGTTACAGCCTTTTGAAAATCAAGTAATAATTTAGGTTTTTTTTACTATTAATTTTTGTGGACAAGTTTAAATTGAAAAATAAATTTTTATAATTGGTAGGATGTCATATTTCACAATGAAGCTTACAACAACAGCGGCAGCAGTCCAGAGTTGACACCTGAAAAATCTAGGAAGATGTTTGTAGACAAAACACCATCACCACAAAAAGGTTCTTCGTTTGTTTCTGCTGTCATTAATGCCATAAAGAATGCTGCTGCACAGTCCCCCTTTGCCGTTAGGGACATCAGCAAGGATAATCTATGTACAGATCGATCCAGGTATTTAATTTTTTCTACTAATCACTGGAACTTTGTTCATATTTTGTTTTTTTTTTTCTCCTAGTTCGAACGAAATGCTGGATTCCGAAACCGAACCGTGCCTCATGATGGAACACGTCCTAGAAGACGTGGTAATACCCGATGGTCACTCGCACAACATGATCTCTTCGGGCCACGGAAGCATGATCAGTTCTCGGCTCACCCACAGTGAAAGCCTCAAAGACCTTTCTCAAGCCATCCTAAACCGCCAAATGTCTGAACAAGCAACTATAAGCTTCGGCGGTTCCCTAAACAACTCTTTCACCAGTGATATAGCTTCACTCGGCGATCTCTTCCCATCTATTTCTTTAGTCGATCAGGTCATTGACGTGGATAACCTTGTAACGAGACTCTTGAAGGTCATCAGAATTATACAATTGGAGAATGATGACTGCATGAATGAACTGCAGGAGCAAAGGGACGGTTTGGCGGAGCAGGTGGATAAACAGAAAGACACATACAAAGTGGTCGTTAAACAGTTAAAGGAGTGGGAGGTACTTGGTGCGCGATTGAAAACCGAAGTGAAAGAACTGATGGCACAATTGAGTAAGAAGAACGCAGAGATGGATAATATCAAAACGGAACTGAACAAACAACGGGAAGAAGTAGAGGTAGGGAAAACCCTTTTATTTTAGCCAGTAAAGAGTGACTCTTTGAGTGATTGTAAGTCAAAAAGACTATATAAACACAAGTCTGCAAATGAATAGCATTTTAGGTGTTGAAATTTAAAAAAAAATAGTTTCATCATTCTGCATCAAACGTCTTAGACATTTTAGAAAATGCAATTTTCTTTTCAATTTTGTCAACTTGTGTCTCAAAAACTATTGATTTGTGGACATATGTTTCTGTAACCTTTTTGGTTTGCTCCTTAAAGTATATCGATGTAGTTATTTAACATCCTGTATACTTTTTTTTTAGAAACTGAATCAGGATGTGTGTGAATTATCCACTGCCTTGGCAAAGGCAGAATTAGAAACGAAAGTGAAAGAAGAAGAAGTGGGAGAGGAAATAAAGAAGTGGGAGAAAACGGGAGAAATGCCGACTCCTGAAGTTTTGGGAAGGCTCATTGTATCACAGAACGAGGTAGGCAAAAAAATAGTGGAGTTCACTTTTACAAGTCTGTAATGATTTTTGTTTCAGATTCCCATCCTGAGAGAGAAGTTAGCAGAGAAAGAACGACATCTGAAGGAATTGACACAGGAATTTGTGACTAGTCGGCAAGTTTTGTCAGAAAGTCTGAAAGAAGCAATGAATGAATCGAAAAAACAGTACAAAGCTATCGATGACGCGTTAGAAGTGAGTGAAAAAGATAAAAATACATTTTAAGAAGTAATATCCTTTCGTTGTATATTTTTTTTATAGGTTTTCCACGAAATTCAAACAGTGGTCCAACAGTGTCCACCCTTAGCAAAACTTCAACGTGACTTAGAAGAAATCAGTTTTCAAAGTGCGTCAGCCATGCCGATTGTGGCGCCCCCGGATTACAACGCAAACGCTGCGTTAATGCAGGCTGTCGCTAATCTAGAAATAACGGCCCCTGCTATAAATACCACTGCCTAAGAATTCACCAAACCCAATAAAGGCTTTCGATTTTGTAAAAATATAATTTTAAAATTTAGGATTTTTGCAGGGTGAGCGTTACAAAATTCGATGTAGATCATTAGGAAAAATGTGATTACGAAAGATTTATAATAGGTTTAAAGTATAAAATAAGTTTTCAACAGGGTGTTTCCTTTATCCATAAATTAAATACAATCTTTTTTATATATATATTATGCCGAGGAGTGACTGTAATTTAAAGTATTTTTATTAATTCGTAAATTTTGCACAAATTAACGTTGTTATTTTTTGGAACACAGATTTACGTTTGATTATTCTATATATTGTATATGTATAGATATAAATGTATAATCAAATATAAAAATTTTTGTTAGGGATCAAATACTTAAATCAAAAATTTAAATTTTATTTCTTAGAAATTTAATTGAAACTCAAGTTAATTCAAAGTTCAAAAATGGTTGTGAATTTTTTTTAATATTCGGCCAAAAAGTTCTTGTAAAAATTAAGATGCTAGTTTTCCGAAGAAGCAAGGCATATTTTCAAATTTTCGCACATTTTCCTATCGGGAAGTATGATTTATCATCTATACTCTTCCGTGAAAATCCAGCTCGCAGGACCAAAAATTTTAAGGTTATGAGACCAAAATGTCATGTTTAAAATTTTAAAACGTCATTTCTTGGTTTTTACATTATCACATCATGATACTGATTTTGTTTTTTAATACACATTCATTCTATTTTCTAATAAAGGGTAAAATTTATTAGCAAATAGATATTAGGTATTATTATAGACGAAGTAAACATATCAGTATTCTGATTAAGCTGCTTATTTACTATGTATTTGGAAGATGTATTGCTTTTTTGAAAGAAAATATTTACAAGCTCATTTTAAGAGAACGACAAATCGTAGCTCTAGTCTAACAAATACTTTAAGGTTTTTGTTTTAGATTTTTTTTCACCCTGTATTGAAAATAAAACTTATAGCGTTAGATTATAAGAAATTATATATTGCCATTGTTTCCACCTTTCCTGTAAATATTTTTGTATATTTTTAGTTTGTAACATAGTGTTTTAACTGTAGACGTAGGCTTTAACTTCCTGAAAATTTTGAAGGCTGATCAATGCCATTTTACCTGTTAAACGTCCAAAACGAATTATTCCCCGTTGTGAGCGTTACAAGTTTTCGTGAGGTTTGTACCCGATGTAGTTGTGAGATGTAATTATTCCACGCTTTTCTTTCGATTCACAATCAAATTTTATGATGGAGCTTCTTTTGTATCGTTTTTATTTCAATTGGTGCTTTTGACGAAATACATATTTTTAGAATGTATTATAATGCCATTATTGTAAATACATTTATTTATTAGTTAGAGGCGTTTTATTTTATTCTTTTTCTCTTGAAAATGATAAATAAATAATTAAGTATTATAATGAATAAATACAGCAAAACACCTTTTAAATAATTTGGTGTACGTATTTAATAGAATTTTTTGTTCCATGTACAATTTTTAATAAAACATTATTAGTCAAGTTATCGTCAAAATTCGTAAAAAATCATTTCCGCAGAAATTTCTAATAGTTTGAGTGCGACAATTTCGTTCTACTAAAAAATGGTGAGTATTAACCTATTAGAACAAGAGAACTTTTTCATGCAAAATGAAATTTTATGTATAAGCCCGATTTTAGACGACAAAATTTTTTATGCAAAATTTTTGTATATATTTGTTGCAAGAAATATGTTCATGATGTTTTAACTTGTAATATGCAGTCATAAGGTTTACTAGAGTACTACATGTTAAAATATCAAAAAATATTGCCACAAATGTGTATAGTCTCTCCGATATCAATTGAAGAGCCAAGAGGATGACAGTATGTACCAGGTTAGGTTGCTGACGCAGCAACTCGGCATTGAAATATTTCAAAAACTTGTTCCCATATTTATTTAGCCATACCCATATACAGCGCGGGCAAACGAAATACAACTACAGTTGCATTGGGCCACTGGGCAATAAATCTCAGCCGTTGACAAGTGGTCGACAAATTGCCCAGCACTGCAGTGCAGCAATGCGGAATTTGGTGTGATTAAGTAATTTGAATTTATTATAGGCACCTTCTATTAATCATTGATATTACAATCGCGAAAGGGAGAGATAATATTATTACAACATGGCTTGGAGACTTTTTGAAACAGAACAAAAGGAAATTTACCATCAATATACTTAATAAAATTGTTTGAGGACATAAATAGTTAAAATATGTTGTTGGCCAGATGAACATATAATAGAACTTGTCTACACTATATATAGAAATTATTATAATTTTTTACATTTATCAGAAAACTTTGTTAGGGACGCCTATGAAACTCTTTAAATTTTATTGCCAGGCGTTTTTTTACTTGTTCAAGTTACTTCGGAAAGACTATACAAAAATTTTGTATAAGAAATATTGTCATGTAAGCAGTCCTAGGCTGTGTTCAGCGAATGGTCGAACCGGTCAAAGTCGTTCAGCAAACAAATATTTCGTTGGTCAGCCTAATCAGCTGATTGGGTATATTGGGCAGGTTTTAATACAGTTACAGGCTATTCAGCGAATTGTTTGACTAAAGAAGTTTGACCGAACTAGTCCGACCATTCGTTGAACATAGTCCTAATATACGACATTCTGTAAAGGGCCTAAACTCAATCACCTGATGGTCAAAACCTTATAGCATATAGTCGATGTTAAAGTTTTAGAATATATACAAACTTGCCAAATTTCAGTGCATTCCATTGTTTTTTTGGAAAAGATATGACAAGAGGTTGATTGAAACAAATAATTTTTGACATCTGTACCCCAGAAACAAAAGATTGCCTATGGTTCACAGGAAAAAATCGTGTTATTTTTTGATTTTTTATCAACTCTTCAGTACTTATATGGTATCTTTTCCTAAAACACCCTGTGTACGGGATGGTTGTGAATTGTAACGTCCAAAAAAATAATAGTAACTTTTTGTGTAAACTCTTCAAATATGGATAGTAAGCAAGACCCCTTTAAAGGGGTAGATATTGTTTTTTTTGTGATACCCTAAAAGTCCTTTAAAACATTCATATTTTAATCTCAGATTTATGGCCTAATCAAACCGGTTTAGAGAAATTCAGGATTATATCAAGGTTTACATACACAAATGCATCTTCCAAATTTTTTAACATGGCGGTATATAAAGAGTGGGCCACATTCGACACTTTTGGGGAATTTCTCGTATTTCCCGAAAAGAGAAAAAAAAGTTCTTTAGACATCATGGGCTTGATTTTCAAAAAATTGAGTGGAAAAACTGTATTTCGATATCTCGATTTGTTCAAGAGATTTCGGGCATTTTTCAGTTTTATAATCATGTAATTTATACTGATATGATGAAAGCTTTCGATCATCTCCATGAGATTTTCCTTGACAAACTTGATCGTGTAGGTATTTCTTGTAAATTGTGTACTATTGAAGTTTTACCTTCCACATAGTTTACAATTTGTTCAATGTCAAGGATCTAAGTTGACACAATTTCGGTGTCGGCTCTTGTCTTCCATACCAGGGAGGGCAAAAAAATTTAGATACATAAGTGCTGAAAAAAAAAAAAAATTAAATATTGGCCAGTTTTATTTTAAGTACTATTGAAATATAGGGAAAATGTGTTAAACACTATTTTTTATAGTGGAACTTCATTCTTCAGCTTTTTCCCCAAGTAAACCTTTCAATTACTTTTCCATTAAAGTTTATTTCTCGCACCATTAATTTTTCAATAGATAGCTTTGCTGTTTGTCCATCTTCACAGTCAATTTAAACTTTTACAATCTTTTAAAAAACACAAGAAGCAATATGTAATAAAATTTTACACTACACCTGAACAAATTACGTTTAATAAAAAAAAAAGCAGTGAATAGCTACTATTTGGTTACAGTCGGACTAAATAGAGCCCAAACTGTAAAATAAATGTGAAGTACTCTCACTCTGTCTTACAACGTTGCGCGTCAGTAACCATGACCACCGCTGTAAACATTACAGATGTAGGAGTATGCTACGCAGAGTTTTTCAAACGAATTCTGCAAATTGAGTTAAATTGAATTACAAATTTAACATTTCCTTTTTAATGTGTTTCTTAAGGCTATCCTATTTAATTATCCAGATAACATTGTAAACTAAATTTTAAATTACATTTTTTTAATATGAAAACTTCTAGGGGGGGCGCTGCCCCAGAGCCCCCCTGCACCAGCCGCCACTGCACAATGAACTGCATTACCCAGTACATATTCAGGGTTTAATTTTGGGTCATTTTATTCAGAATTTACATCATAAGATAATTAGGCTTCCAATACCTAAACTGAAGTACATATTTTATTATGTCCACTATATTAAAAATGTATAATTTATATCTTCTTGAAAGGTTCAATTGTGCTGTTTTATACCTCTGCTTCAAAAATGAAAACTATGATATTGTGATCATAGTACATGTTTGTTCCTGTTTTGCTTTGAAAAATTTGATTTATCTCTTTTTAATGTTTTTTATTTGGAAGTTCGATTCTTTTTGGTGAATTGATCCAGTTGAATCGGTTCATCTCTCATTTGAGTTGATATATGTTCGGTTCAATGCTAATGTCCGTCTGAATTATGTTTTAGTTACTTTCGGTCATGAATTATGATAAGATCGAGATGAAACGATTCCGTCGAAATAAAATCAGTCATCTGACTTCTGGAACCAGTGAATCAGATAAGTATCGAATCTTTTGTGAATACTGAATTAATTTTTTAATTCTGCACAGATTTTTTCGTTTTGAATGAATCACTTTTGAATGACACATCTCCACAGGGTGTTAGAAGTTTGACTGCCTTAATTTTAACAGACGATAGAATACATTAAAATAAACAAACAATCCTTATGGGTCCTAAACTCAACCATTTCCGAGGAAAAAATTATCAAAATCCAACTTGATGTACAAAAGTTCGATTAATTAAGGAATATTGACATAACTACGTGCATAGAATACCATAAAATACAATGTTTATCACTTTTTTGAACTTCTTTGTTTAATTCTAAAAAATAATTAGCGTAATAAATTTAAAATCGATAAAATTCATATCGAGCAATGTGACAACGGCACGGCGGATAACATGAAGGTATTAAACTGTCCAGCAACACGCAATTCAGTTGGTATCTGGAATTGGACTGTGTTTGAGTGTTTTTTGGGTACCACTATTTCCTTTTCTCGAGGTATTTTCCAGCGAGTGGTGCGAAAATTGGATTCGAAGGTGTTGTGAGTGTATCAAAAATGGTAGTGGACATTTTGAGCATATGTTTGTTTTGGATTTGTGCATTTAAAAATTACAGAATTTTGATTTTTGGCAAATACCTAAATTATTTTTACTACTTTGAATACTTTAATTACATATTTCAGATTCATAATTTGATTAAAAGTTAAGTTCCTGTTTTAACCTTGACACTATCTTCATACTACAAAATCGATACATTTTATTTTATTTATTTAAAAACTGGAAAACGACTGTCTTGAAATTTACTAAATGTTTCACAATAATAGTTGTTTACATTTCTTCCGTAGGACAAGTCTGCCACGTGCACACGTGGTATGCATCAGATGTTTAGCATTAGGTTAAGGGCCGTTGTCACGTAGTGATGAAACTCCCCAATATTAATAACACTTGCTGTATTTTGAAAACCAAAAATGGCTCCACATAACAGTTTGAATATTTCAAGGTAATTTATACACGTATTTTGGGAAGTGGTGAGTTACCTCTTAAATACCCAGACGAGGACGAGCATCAAAACAAACCAATACAGTATCTAATGTTTATTTAACACAGTATGAATAGACGAAAAAATATAAAATGCAACAATAAGAAATACTATAAAATCAGATATAAGAAAATAAAATTGGCCTATTGATAACTTACACCTACCATATACCACAAATAAATTAATTGGATAGATAAAGACGATGGTAATCGTTAGCCCCGAAAGCGCAGTTGCATTTCGGGCACTTCCTCTGCCTCGTCTCGTATCTAGTTTTAAGACAGTCGTAGCAGAATACGTGGAAGCATTTTGAAAGTACGGCATCCTTCCTCTTGACCTTGCACGAAGGACAGGTAAGTGTTTCCTTGTATTCCCTGATTTCCTCCATCATAACTTCATCCAGCGTCGTACCCGCCAGCTCCATTTTCTTCATCCTTTCGGCCTTGCGTTTCAGCTGGGCGATTTCTTCTTGAAGTCGTTTCGTCTTATAGGCTTCCGCTTCCAAGGAACTCGTTTTCTCTGCCACAACTTGCTGCGCCTCTTTCATTTGCGAATGGTACTTTTCTGTGTAAAAAATTCAAAGATTACAAACTGATGGAGTGGCTATGTTCAAGATCCTAACTATTGAAGAGAAATCAAATAGATTAATAAATCTGTCTACATCTGTACACATGTACCTTCTATAGTCGAGGGATCATCATCTACCAACTCCACAACAATGTTCTCAGAAATGAAAGAAATCCAGATAATATGAACCTAAAATTATTATTTTTTTTTAACGGCATAAATAGTCGAGTTATAATTAGTTTCTTAAACTGCATTTTAATTCTTGTGTACGCCACTGGGCGGCATAAACTAGGGCACCCGGAATTTGCGTATTAGTGCCACTATCTGCCAGTTGTTTTTAAATCGACCTACAATGTGGGAGGTAAAACAGATTGCTTTTGTATAACTTAGCGACGTATCATTTTAAAGTCACCATATTTTTTGATATCACTGTGGTCAAAGCGTCAAACATTAATAAAAATATTCTATCGTTTTAAAAAAATAAAAATTTTTACATGATTTATTAATGAAACTAATGAAAAATAATTTAATGAGAATGCTTTAATGTGACTACTAAGTATTACTTTAAATCACTGTATTTCTTTTATGTTAATGTAGACGCAGGGCCGAACATTAAAAAATAGTTTATAAAAAATTAAAAATTTGACAATGAATAAAACAATAAAATTAACATTTAAATTTAAATAGCATTCCATCATGTTCCGAAAGCTTTCAAGGCGCAACGGAGGTTAACCCTATTCTGTTGCAATGTCGCCTTTTAAAGTGGATGTGTCGACTGTCTTCACACCTGGTATAAAACGGGAATGGCTGAATACTTCAGTGTTTCGTTTTGTTACATTTTTAGTTTTAAATTATTTGTTTATTTTTGCTAGGTTATGTGGGAAGTACTGTTTCATAGTTTATATTATTTAAAAGAATTAAGTTTTCTTTATTGTGGGATAGCATCCGTGGCGAACACCCACTCAACAAAAGTAACGGGCCAAAAAGTAGAATGTCAAGTCCAGTGGTATGGAAATTTGCTTTTTAATAACATTTCCTTTAAATATGAGATTTGATAACAATGCGCAGCCCAGTTCCCAATTCTGCACGTGCTGCAATTAAAGCTCGCCATTGTTTGAGTTTGTCTAGCGGCGGGGTATAGGAAATTAAATTTGCACAACGAAATGAAAAAATAATGACGTGTTTCTAAAGGTCAAAGGAAGTCCCCCCCAAAGTTAAAGTTTTATAACATTTATATCAGCACGCTAAGTGGCTATAAACTTCTATATCCTGGATTTTAACAAAAATTCATAACTTTTTCATTTCTATCATAATTTTTCTCTGCTCACTGTTACCAAAAAGTTTTAGACCTCTAATAGCGACTATTCAGAACAGGGTCCTAGGCACGTTGATCCCTTGTGATGTCGAGTTTATGGTCACTCCAACTGTGATAAGAAACCGAATAATGCAGTTTTAATGAACTTACCAAGATGAAGTTTAAGATCGGCAGCCGACTGCGCCGATTCTATCGCTTTTCTCTTGTGCATCTCCATCGCCTGTTGTCTGAGCGTCAGCTCCTTCTCCACAGTTGCCAGAGTGTTCTGCAGGATCCTCTCTTTCTCCTCCAACTTCCTGACCACTAGATTAGCGGCTTCGACCTGCGTCGTTAATGTAGTCACTTGCTCCTTTAATACGTCTTTCTCCTCCCTCGCCAACTTGTGCAGCTGATTGGATTTGATCCTCTCCGACATCAGCTTGAAATTGGCATCGTCCTTTTCCCTCAGCTGCTGTATTAGCCTCGAATTTTGCTCCTGAAATAATTTTAAAGTTATAATTGCGTTCGGATTTATAATTCTTTTTAATTATTACTTGCATGTCTTCAAAGGCTTGTCCGGTCACTTCCATCTCGTTAAGCAACGCTTCTTCTTCGTGCGAACCGACGAACGGCCTCATCTGGTGTAGGACGTTGTGTCCGCCCCAATTTCCGTCGTTCGGTTTTTGGTTCGCCACCTGTTTTTGAAGTTCATACTTCTGTTCTTCAAGTTGCTTGATCTTCTTCAGAGCTTCGTCTTCTGCCAGTTTTCTTTTATCGTCCCGTTTATTATCCTGCATTTTCTTTATCGTCTGTCTGAGTTCCTCCAGGTCGGTCCTAAGCTTCTTTTCGGCAGCCATTAGTTGTACCTTGTCCCTTTGTTCTTTACTGACGCCCTTGTACATGTCCAGGAGCAGTTTCATTTCTTTTTGCTCGTTCAAAGCTTTCCTATAACACACCATGAAATACTATAGTTGTCATACAAATCATTAACGGGTGTGGTAAACTTACTTCAACTGATTTTTCAAATCCCGCACCATCTCGTTTTCGGCTATCTTGGCTTCCTTTGCTCTCTGGGCTTCCCGATGCTCCTTCTCTGTCTTGACGGTAACTTCCTTCTTCACTACGTTCTTTTCTTGTTTCACAGCACCTTCTTTCTTTGCCGTTGGGGAAGATCCGGATCCGGAGGCTTGGTCTTTTCCTTCTGCATCTTCTGTCTGCTATAAAAAGTTATATTCAGAGTAAAATAAGTAATTTCTTCGATAACCAACCTCGGTGTCTTCTTCCTCCTTCTTAACGGCGCTCAACATTTGTTCTTCCTTGACCTGAGCCCCTCCCTCGCTATTTGAAGTGTCTTCCTCTTTTATTTCCTCTTTTTTTATGTTGTCCTTGCAGTCCTGGTTGGCGCCTTGAGCCTGACTCAGTTTTGTCTGTAGCTCTTCGATTTCCTTCCTTAATTTTGGTATTTCCGTATTGGCTTCCTTGTATTTTCTCTTATATCTGCGACAACAGGAAAATGTATCTTCGAGATATACTAACAACATATTTTTTTACCTGTGTACTTCTCCTTTGAGTTGCTGAGTGTTATTTTGCAAAGAAGTTATCAAATGCCTCATTTCACGATTTATAGGTCCCGTCTGCTCGTTAGCCGCCAGATTTTGCTCAAACTCGATCCTTAGCATCTCGTACTCCTTTCTAAGTTGGGCCAGGAAGTCCTCAAGTTGCATCACTTCTTGTCTCAGCTTTTTTTGCGCAATCAGTTCCTCTCCCTAAAAAAAAGATGATGATAATTATAAAGCAGTGATGGAAGTGGAAGGAGACTTACCTCCATCATTTCTATGTTGCGCAAATGGGCATTTTTGCTGGTCTGCAGTTGTTGTCTAGCTTCATCCAGTTGTGTCTTCAGTTGCATTGACTCATTATATAGAACGGAAAATTGTGACTGCAGGCATTTATATTCTGTAGTCTCAACGATGACACTTTCTGGCAACTGACGAATCTGTGGAATTATGATTAATTGGTAAAACAGCACAATCAAAATATGAACAAATGAAAAAGTATAGTAGCCAAAAGATAAATTTTATATAAAATATTACACAGGATGTAACTTTACGCGGGGAACAATTTTTTTTTGGGTAATAGTACGTTTCCTAGAAAACGAAATTGCAATAGAAAATAATTTTGTAAAACACATTGTTCTTTTACGATTTTACATTTTATTTTAGTCACCTCATTTCTTTTGATGGATAAGGAGCACAGAAACCATGTTTTTAAAAAATACATATTTTTTATTGGTATGTGGATAGACATACGTCACTAATTTTAAGTAAAACTAATTATTTTTACTATTTTATAAAACATCTATATTAAAAAATTAATAAAAATACTCGCTAAAATCCAATAAATTTGAAAAATTTTTAAAATCATTTCAAGTTTTTAATAACAACTATTTGTCACTATTTTATTTCATCTAAACAAAACAACAAAAAAAAACAAAACTGGAACTGAACGTAGCCCGTTTGGTTAGGACAGAGCGAGGTCGTCCTGTCTACATGTGCAATGTGTATGGCGTACACAGACGCTAGGTTCGAAATGGTGTTAAAATGTCAAAAAGTTTGATAGGCGCTAAGTTTTATGGGATGCTGTAAGCAGATTTGGGTATAAAGAATTTTTTATTTTCGCTAAGAGGTTGAAAACAATAACCTTATTTAGCACATTGTACACTCTATTACAACACATGAAATTTGTCAAATAATCGAGATTTAGATCCATGAGAACCAAGAGACAGTCCTAGAAAATTGCAAAATTATTTACGATCAATTTATGAGCCAAAGGCATGAAAAGTTGATGTATCTATTTAATTAATTTCCTATATTTATTTGTGTTATTATTGCAGTTTGTTTTTCTTCATTTTAAATAGTATCAAATTTTGAAGAGCATTTGTTTTATTTTTTACATCAACGATATTCATTTTAATTTTACATTTTTTTATACCTAAAGTTTTTTATTTTTTATCTCTTGTATTTACTTTTTACGTAACTTTTTCATTAATAAAGTCAACTTCTTTTTTGCATGTTATAATTTAATATAACAAGATGTTTGTTTACGTCTATCAGAATTACGCAATTGATTATGTATTTGTCTTTACAGTTGCTGAAAATAGTTCTAATGCACAAATTTCAACAAATTTCTTCATCAGATTTTTCATATATTATTTTTAGCATAAAAAGATCGAAAACCAAAAATGATGTGTTAATATTTTTGAACAAATTATTTTTAAAAATGGGAAGCAAACGTATTGAATGGGACGGTAAAAAATATTTTTACTATGCATAAATTCTAACTTACATCCATTTTTAACTTCTCGACTTCCTTCAAAGTTTCCCTGTGTGTTTGATGCAACTTATCCAACTCCTGCAACCTATTATTTGCCAACTCTTTCCATTCTTCCACCTCCTTAAGAAGGTCCTCAAGCTTAGCCTGTGACACGTTCGTCTGGGGTGCAGGTTTCTGTTCTTTGCCTTTATTATCAGGATCCCCGTGAAGCTGATGGTATGCCTTCAATTTCTCTACAGCCTCGGCAAGGTGAGTCTCTAACTTATCGTTTCTATTGCGGACTTTCTCGAGCTCATATTGGAGGTCGTCAATTTGGTTTTTCAATTCTGCGATCTCAGTTTCTTTAGCCGTGACAGAGTCTTGAAGTTCAGCTACTTTCAGGCTGTTTGTGTGGTATTTTTCATGCAAAGATGTGTGTAGAGCCTGTAAGTTGCGGTTTTCGGCTTGCAACTGAATGTTTGTCTGACGAATAACCTCGTCCACTGATGGGGCATCCTCTACAAAATGAAAAATAATTTATTTATGTACCTAAAATGTTTATCGATGAAAAAAACCATTTTGTCAACTTACGGCCTTCTAATTCTCCCTTAAGAGCCAACGTAATTTTCTCGTTCCTCTGCATTAACCTATCAAAGGCTTGAATAACTTTTGCAACAGCCCTCCTTGACACCTGTACCCTGTTTGCCAATTTATCGTTAAGTTCATCCTTATCCCACGTCGATAACTGCATTAAAAATGATGTTGTGGCTTCATTCTCATCTAAAAATAAAACTTAGAAAACTACCCTATTAGAAATAGTGTATTTACTTTTATTTTCTGACTCATCAGCTGTTTCAGCATCAAATCTCTGTAAAAGTATGCGAATATCTTCGTTAAGCTGGTTCCAGTAACGATTGACAACATTCAGCATAGCATCATCCTGTGTCTGTCGTTTTTCCAACTGCTCTATCCTCTGTCTCAATTCCTGCTCTGTCCTGCATCTCTGCTCAATCCTCTGCAAGCAATAATGTTAAATCGGCCAAGCGTACGACATACTCTCATAGTAACTTACTTGTGCCAATTTCTTGTTTTGGAACTGTAAAACTTTGATGTCCATCTCTTCTAAGGTGGAGACGGGCCCGATGAGATGAGGTTCAAAGTGAATTTTTTTAATTGGAGGCTGCCCTCCGCTGGAGCTCTCCTCTGCATGTCTCTTGGACATTGTTGAGGTTATGTTTAACAAACCCTGGAAAAAACTATTATTTACGAAAAAAATAAGTAATCGGTTATATTTCTTAAAGAAATTTATCTAGTTCTTTCCTAGAGTATGTTTATAAATTAATTCATTTTCAAAACTAAACAACGACGGGTCAATAACATGATCGAATTTTAAACTAGAGTAGATACGTGCCGCCACATTATGGTAAGCACAATGGCTTGAATAATCAAATCATAGACAAATAATTATGAAAAAACAGAATAAAATATAAAAATTTCACTTACTTTATTGATTAATTCTTCATAAGATTGTTTATTTTGCAGTGTACGATATACATACCACGGACACGGACGCAATCAAAAATCAATTCATTCTCGGTATCGGTACGCTTGCGCAATCGTAATCACTAGTTTATGCGAATCTACAATGAATTTTTGGTTCATCTTTCATCAGATAAAAATCTAACAAAAGTAGTGTGGAAATAAGTTTGAGATGTACGTGTTATATTGGAAATAATTTCGTGAAACAAGAAACAATGTTTTATGAGAGTAAATTTCTTGAACAAGTTTCGTCCGGAACATTTCTCTTTCTGCACGTCCACGTTGGCCTTGTTTCTGAAATAGAAATTTGTGTTTGTCAAATACGATGAGACTAATGAAAAAACAGATTTAAAAAGAAAGAGTGTAATGTGAATTATAGAAAAAATATGATTCTGAGGTTAATAGAATTATGTGAATTCCATTCCAATTTATTGGACTGCTCGTCAGCTCGTCCCTCGTCCGAAAACCACAAATACAGAAATGTCAGAAAATCGTTTATGGCATCTATCCAAGAATTCCAACAAGCTAGGAATTTCTGATCAAATACACTATTAATAATAAAATACACTAAAAGTGACCCAGGCAATGGGAGATAATTTTGTGGTAAAATGGGAATTTTATGATGTCTTAAAATTCATTGATTTACCAAGTAGTAATAATACAATTGACTGGTAAGTTTAATGATACATTTTTATATGTATTTATACTGCCGTGGAACTTCTCTTTCCTAGTGCAAATATTGTGTAAATTCCAATTGTCACCAAGTCACCATTTACCTAATGTTTACCTATGCCAGTTTCCTGATCTTCCACATCAGAATTACTATAAGGATCATAAAGATTGCAAATTAAATTAACTCGGCGTCTATTGATTATTTATTGACTTTGACTAATTGTTTTTACCTAAATAATAACAATAGAAGCCCTTTTCTTTTATTCGTGATTTCGGAATCACAACGTGTGATCCGATGGAAACCAATCAGGTTGCTAGATTTAGGATTATAACACATTATGATTCTGAATATGAATAAAAGAAAAAAACTAGTATTTATAACATAAATATTTATTTTTAGACAAATGGAGATGCTGTGACTGAAGGCATATTGGAAAATTCATCAGAGAGTCAAGAATCTGACGACTCTTAAAAGGTTTAGGAATACTTCAACACTGACCCTTTACATTGTAATACCCCACTTACATAAAGTAGTCATATCAACCTCATCGAGATGCAAAGTTGCAACACCTTCACCCTCAAGACTAAAATTATGTCTAAAGTCAGCAGAGATTTGCAAAACATGCTCAAAAGCTCCAGATCTGCAATTCTGAACGAAACGAGAAATACAGGGAAATTTTACAAATGAACAACCAGTATGAATTCAAATCCTGAACTGGTATATCCTAGACCTTTAATTACCCCAACAGTTATTAAGATGACCTACTAGTCCCATATAGTACATCCTCATTAAGGTAATCAAAGGTCATTGGAAATCCTCGAAGAATGTACTGAAATTGACCAAGTAAATAAGTAGTGTTGGAATGAATCTCGTACAATTTTATGAAACATGTGCACCTACATTTTTTAAAATGTAAAATATTGGTTTAATAAAAGAACATGTTTAACTTACTTGTAGATATCCTTCTTTTAGAACATTGTACATTGCAGGACACCCTTCAGGTGTGATTCGTGAAATAGTTATGTAAAATAAACACAGCGAATGGTAGCTGTCTCCTAAAAAAAAAACATGTTTGTCGTTCCTTAAAACTAGACTATTTAAAAACATTTAATACTTGCCTAGAACCAAGCTAGCCCTTCAGCGGTTAGAATTGCATTTGGCATATGTAAGTCTATTTGTTTTACTATTGCAAAGTTTATTTTGTCCAGCAAATAGCGAAAGTTGGCAGTACACATTTGAAGAAAATTCTTCTAACATTCCTAGTCTCGTTCTGGTTGTAATAATGTTTCCATAAATTCTCTTTTTTAATCTTGTGCTCCAATATCTGATATATTTTTACTATACAACAATAATAGTACATATTGTTGCAGCTTTTCTTCTATTCCTTTTTGTGAAAATCTTTTTATAAAAACACTGCAACCCTAAAGTAATTATTTTTTTTTTAAATTTTTATGAAATAGGTACCATGGAAAATTTTATATGTCAAATAAACTCAAGATTTTCAGAAAAATATTTATATTATAAACACTTTTGAGATATAAATTTTCATTCAATTTTAGTTTCCTCCTGGACATGTTTTGCCTTTAGTTTTCTGCTTTTGTTAATTTTATCTTCAAGTGTTAAAAAAGTAGTACCATCTAATTTTTTAAAAACCAATAAGTGTCAAATATATTTTTCAATCTTTTATTAGATAGATTTGTGTGGAAGTAGGTACCTACTTTCTTGTTGAAGTGCCTAAGAAATAAAAATAAATTATAAAGCATTTGATTTTGTTAATAATGAAGCTTCTTTGGAGCTTTAGTAATAATTATAGGAATGTTTTTTAGGTGCTGACTTTATGTTTTGTAACAGGTCATAGAGGTAGTTGCTTTACTTTCTGAAAAGTCACATTTTTGGGAACTATTGCCTATCGATAATTTGGCTAAAAGCTAAATTATTTGAAGCAGTATCTAATAATATATCCAATTTACTGATAGCTACTTTGGGAGCCCGCCGATAGAGCATTCTCTACAGTCTTGGCTCCTAAAAAAATATTCAAGTCTACATTTTTAATTCCTGTTGTCGTTTTTAAGGTTTTCATACTTTTTTAAATGAAAAAGGTACACTTGTTTATGTCGATACAACAAACCGTTTTCGAGATGAACGCGTTTAACTGTGAATATATTTTTGACATATTTTAGTAGTAATAAATAATATAATAATATGAAAACAAAAAATTAGCTATTTTGCTAACAAAATATGTAGGTAGGTACGTAATATCAAATGCCATTTTACATTACCTATGTATTTATTTTACTAAATAAAAACCAATTGTTGTTTTCAGTACTTATTTGATTACCTACTATATTAAAATACCTCGGAAACAGTATGGAATCTTTATTGTAAAACACATTTATCTTAAAAACACTTAATGTTAATCATTGTATAAAAATTATCAAAATTTAATTAGAAACTAAAAAGATACAACGATACATTGTTTTCAATTCTCAATTTCTAGAGTTAATAACTCTACTTACAGCGTGAGCTCGAATAAAACAAATCATAAAAACTGGTTGCGTTGTTTTTTGAAGTTTCCCTTCAAGGCCGCATTTCACTGAGGCTGGTCCAGCCTCAGTCAAATGCGGCCTTTATTCCAGAGACTGCCTTCTATAAGTAGATTATTAATATAAAAAGGATTTTAATCTTAAATAATAAATAATTCCATTGGCTGTGGATAGCTTTTAAATTGCGTAAAGTATCTTGGTATTTGTCTTTCAAATAAAGTGATTAATGGGTAGGTACATTTTCTGGATAATATTGAAAGGTAGGTACATAAGATAATCGTAATAGGTACCTAAGTAACGCAGAATCCTAAGCACAAAGAAAATTAAAGCAAAATTTTCCTGGTTCATAGCACAATAAACGTTCTGTGTAAGACATTTAAAATTAATTAAACGTTACTGTCTAGGATACCTTAAAACGTACGTTTACAAATTCCAATACCATAATAATGTGTCTATTATTTTTGGAGATATTGATAAAATTTAGGAAAATAATCTTATTCTTTGATGATCAAGGTACCTACCTATATCCTTAGGATTTATGGTACGTTCTTGAAATATCCTGTATAGAATACATTCATATTATAAATGATTTACGTTTGATGTCAAATAAATCATGAGTTATTTAGAAAATTGAGTTACCGTATAAAATAAAGGAAAATATTTATATTTGACGTTACACTACATATTTTATTATTTAAATAAGTACCTATTCATATGAATTTTTTCATAGAAATAAAAAGGAGATTTGTACTTATCTAGTTCCTTTTAAGCACAAATAGTTTTCATCCAATTTCCGTTTTCAATCCTCAAATCCTAGAGAATTTAATGAAATTGTGTAAATGTATTTGTAAGTTAATAAAACACATCAAGTGTAAACAACAAGTGTTCATTATCTAATTCAAAATAAGTTTTATTTATTTATAACTTCGAGTTTATAGCAGATGAAATAAAGATGAATCTTTCCGAGATGAGTTGAATTACGTGACACCGCAGTTTCTTTGTCTTTATAATCAATTTTAACTCATCCAGGAACTTATTCCAAGTCAATATTGATTTAAGAAACTAATTATTCATTACAAAGTTTCCGAGGGGATCTTTGAAAGATGCAGCTGATGATGCGTACAGCAATCAATCGATTAAGATTAATGTGTAAAAGCACCGAAAGTCGAATACCAAGAAACAGTCCTGGCCCATCTGACCCCTTCGTTATCACCAGGTACCCCTAGCCGGCCGACCCTTGCCACTTGCCATAAGCCACAAGAGCGAAGGCAAGGTTCGGCTCCGTTCCTTCCCACCATTTCTGCCACTAGCTCAACGACACAGGCGAACATCCTGAGCGAGTGGGGCGCGTCGTCACACAGACATCATGTCATGGCGTTGTGTTTCAGACGTTATCGGCCGCTAAACATGCCCTAGTTGTCGCGTTGCACCGATTTCTGTCGCGCAAAACACCTGGAAACCCTTCGCGGGTGTTGTGCAGTGTCCAGTGAATCATTTAAGAAGGAATTGTCGCGATGGCAGACCTCAGACTTGATAATTTCCAATCTTGTTGTAGACTGTGTCTGTGCGAGAAGATGGATACTTTGAAATCCGTTTTCGATGAAGCTGTAGAGGACAGGACGTTGCCGCAGAAGATTTCGCAGTTCGTTGCTGTGGAGGTAAGCAAATTTGTCTTTATTGTGTCTTCGATGTGGGTGTTTGGGATGATAACGTGTGGAATTAGTGCATCAGTGATGAGGAGATTATCCTACCAAGCTCTGAACTGCAATAAGGCGGCGCGCGCGTAAGGAACGTGTTGATTCTCGACCTTATCGTCGCTCGAACCAACTGTGCCAGCAATGCCAGCTTCGTGTTTGTTAAAGGAGAACGGCAAAAATGGCTGCTGTTCAGCGACGAGAGCATCGACACTCTCTTTATGATTTTGTCTTTCGTCAGTCTGACATCCATCATTTTATTCGATTTAATTATGGACGAGTCTATTTTGATTACTCGCAAAACTGATTCTGAAAAAAGATCTTTTCAGATATTGAATTGATGGATGGTAGATATTTTCTTTTTTAAGATATGAATTTGTCAATCGATGAAGGTTTCCACCTTCGCGCATATTTCCTATTTCTTAAAATGCTTGTTTATTCCATTATTAAAAGCTGAAAGCTTGTTGAACTACTACCTATTATGAATGAGAACCTTGACTTTCAACCTTATGGCAATAGACTTGATTACAACGTTAATTCTGTATTTTGCTGATTTAGGGCTTTTATAATTTCTAACGAACTCTATAAAACAAACACCTTGCTTAGATTGAATTTCTCCGGTCTATTAGAGGCATAGTGTTTTCGTTTTGAGATTTTTGTTGCCTTATTTCTCTTTCAAATCAAATCAGCAAAATCATCGTCGTGTTTAGTCCTTTTTCCCGAGTGGAACAATAGGTAGGCACTTGTATGACAAAATAATTGACTATATGCTAGTGTTATTTAAGTCGTGAATTAAATTTATTTACTTACCCCCCGAATTACATTTATTATAGGCAGTTACCTACATAAAACTGGTTAATACAATTAAAAACTAATAGTGAGCGTACAGTTGAATCGTTTTTGACGTCATTTATTGATAATCTTTAACAAAATCTTTGTGTACAGTTATAATGGAAAGTTGTATTAACTCCATTTATAATAGCTTTATATGTATGTACTTTGACATTATTTGAGGATTTTTAGATTCTCCATATATAGAAATATGATAGGAGTTTTTTGTTTTATAGTTTTGTAAACATTATAATTAGGTACATCCAATATTTGAAAGAACCGCCAGAGAGTTATATTCCATAACATATTTTAATTATCAATAGTGAACTACTCACTGAAAGTGAATATTTATTATTGATTGCAGAAGACAGAAATTGTGTATGATTAATCATTAGTCGATAATTTTGTCACAAGTTACAATTCGATTTCTTGAACCAGTTATTCCATCAGTTTTTAAAACTAATGGCATCTACAAAATCGGTATTTGCTCCTCCCATTAAAACCAGATAAATTGTATCTATGTATGGAGTCGCAATAGAGATGAAAACATGTATGACGCAATGCATTACCATGTCAATTAAGATAAATTTGCTATATGAAACGTCATTCGAAATTCTTTTATGAATTTTTTTGAGTTTCTCTTAACATGTACGATCCATAATAGGTATATGCTTTTTCTTATAAATTAATTTTCTCTTATTTGATATTGGTTCAATTTTCTTTCAAAACTGTGACTTTCATTTAGGACTAAGTAGTCTTAATAGTTACGAATTGCCTTTTCAAGTACAGAAAATCAAGAAAGAAGAAAATCTATAATACAATTATAAACAAGTTGTACCTACTAGGTACCTACTTAATTGGTATTTATTCTCTGGGAACAAGTATCTTAAATAAAGCGGCATGGCAGCGTAATTTCGCCTGTGCTACCGATTAATAGAAACATTCCGGAAATTGTTTTCTTCATCGCAATAGTCCTAAAATAATCTTTGATTGTTTATTTTTAATAATTATACATTTTTAATATTAGCTTTTGTTTCTTTACTTTACAAGGTACATATTAACTTAACTCAAATCAAATCACGTAGTTAAGTATATGCTCTTTGCCGCCAGCATCTGGGTATGTTAAATAGCAACTTCAAAGACAAGCTATTAATTAACAATCAAGGGGTAACCGCATTACCAAAAAATGAACATCCTACGATTTTCAGGGATTGCACCGCAATCACTACAATTGCCAGCGATTGCTTTAAAATAGTTGTGAATAAGTTTTGTTATATTAATTTTAAATTGTTTAACTGTTTGTTTTCGAAAAAATCGCAGTTATAAATGTTTAAATAATTTTTTGCACAAAATTTAATAAATGTAATGATAATATAGTGAGTCATAATAAGTACTTAGATACATTTCATTTTTTTCACAATTACAGCGATTTTCTCGAAAACAGCTCAAGTTGTTGGATGTGTGGTATGGCTGATATACTAATAAGAAATTTACTTACATTGAATTAAAAAATGAAACAAAGGACTGGAGTTTAAAAGAATAACAACACAAGACATCTTTTTTGGGCCACCCTGTACACATAAAATTTCATTTAAAAATCCTCAAGTAAAATAAAAATTTGATAGGTCCGATCGTTTTTCCGAGAAAAACCTATTGCCTATTTTAAATGAATTTATTCCAGTCTTTATGTGCCCATAATGTATTCAGTGTGTTCAGATTTAATCTGGACCATCCTTTATAAATTTAAATAAACTTTCAATGCAATTTTACCAGATTATAAACAGCTTATTTATTTAATTTCATGCTATGCTATGATTTTTTTCCAAGATATTTTTCGAAAAATCATAATTTTTTATCGAAAATCTGACACCGTAATTCCCTCGGTAATTCCACATCTTTGCTACTAACCCTTGAAATTGCTGAAATATTGGACAAAATATTTTAAGTTAATTTTAGTGATGGGAATAATCGAATGAATTAAATAATCGAGAGGTTACCATTCGAATTAATTTTATAATCGAATGATCATTCGAATGAATAATCGAAAGTTCACTTTGAAAATTTCCGGTCTATCCCAAATCATATGCGAAACATGTTGACGTTAGGTAAATGAATGACTGTCGCGGATTGGGGCATTTTTCCATATTTCTTCGTTGCCAGTTGAGTGATTCAGCAGCATGTGTTTAAAATGAGTAGTCGCCGCCTAAAGAGGTCCATTGTTTGGGATTTTTTTGAAAAAAAAAAAATATAGAAAACATAATTTGGTATTATTTTCATTCATATGAATTTTTATCCCCGCTAAATAAAGCTCCCATCTAACCCCCCGCGATGCCACTCATAAAATTCCTGCATACCTTTTTT